TTCAGGGCTGTGTGCTGAGACCCCTGCTGTTTTCAGTTCCAGCTTCATCTGTAAATATGCTGATGACAGTACCATCATTGGCCGAATCACCAGTAGTGATGTGAAGGCCTACAGGGATGAGGTCAGGAACCTGGTGGAGTGGTGCCTCAACAATAATCTCTCCTTCAACGTCAGCAAAACCAAAGAGCTGCTCATGGATTTTAGAAAGGAGGGTGGGGACGACACCCCTTTTCACATCAATGGGGTGCCCATAGAGATGGTTAGCAGCTTCATGTTCCTGGGTACCTTCATTACTAACGATTTAATTGGGTCCCAGCATGTAACTGGAGCTACAAAAAAGGCACAACAGAGAAGCCTTTACTTTCTCAGATAGTTGAAAAAACTTTGGTCTATCTTGAACTGTCCTTACCACATGTAACAGGTGCGCTATTGAGAGTGTGATAACATGTGGAATTACAGTGTGGTTTGGCAGCAACTCATTGTCTGACCAATAGGTGTTACAGGGGATGATCAGGTCAGCCCAGTCCATAATTGGAGTATGGACATTTTTACAACTCGCTGTCTCAGGAAGAGTGGAAGTATTGCTAAGGACAACAATCATCCTGATTTCTCTCTTTTCTCTCCCCTACCCCCTGGTAAGCATTATAGGAGCATAAAGGAATGAACCTCCAGATTCAGAGACAGTTTCTTCCTGCAAACTGTCAGATTACTGAACTTTACCCCTACCACTGACATGTTGACACTGATGTTTTTTTTCCTCTTTTCACACTGCTTGTGCTGACTTGCATTTTTAAAGTTGGATGTTATTTAACTTGTTGCTGCTGTTGTGAATTTATGTTTTGGTGTTTCCATAATTTCTTTCTATCGGAGCATACATGTAAATAAGCATTTAATTGCACTTGTGCATATGACAAAAACTGAACCGAACTGCATTAAGTATTTGGATCAGTGAACTTAACTTTTTTTGAAACACCTCTGGCAGCAATTATAGCCACAGGTCTTTTTGGGTCCAAACTTTGCAGACTGGCATGGTGTCCGTTGCCAATTCTGTTTGTCTTATTTGTTCAAACTCTCTCAAGTTGCTTAGGAATTGCTTGTGGGCAGCTGTTGTCAAGTCTTTCCAAAGATTCCCAAAAGGATTCAGATCAAAACTTTGACTGAACCACTCAAGGATGTTCACTGCCAGCAGCCATATCATCCTGCAACTCACAACTGGAAACCCATTGAACCAAAACAGGTGTAAGCCTGGTCAGTACCTGGATGGGAGACCTCTTGTGACGGGGACATTATACTGTAAAAAGGTGCCGTCCTTTGGATGAGATGTAAAACCGAGGCCCTGACTCTCTGTGGTCATTAAAAATCCCAGGATATTTCTCAAAAAGAGTAGAGGTTTACCCTGGTGTCCTGGCCAAATTTCTCCCTAGCCTTTACCAATCATGGCCTCCTAATAATCCCCATCTTTGAATTGGCTTCTCCTCCTCATTACACATGATAGCTGATCTGTCGTGAGTGTACTGATATACAAGTATTCTATTGAAACAGGAAAGATATATATATATAAAACAGTCTTCAAAATGTTTTATATGTCACTGTACACTAAGGGAGAAATGCAGTTTATTATTGTGGCCAAATATAGGTCCAGAACACACATTTGGAAGTAGAGTGTTTATCTTTAACTAAAAGATCCTGAAAACCTTTTAGTCTGCACAATACCTGTCATAAACATTATAACATAATTGCTATCAATACCAAAAGAGTTCACGGTACTAGAACTGGATATCAGAGTTAAAATAAATAACTCTATGTGCATTATGCTATATGCTTTTTACTTCACTTTCTAGCATTATCTTTTAATCTCATTAATCAGTCAAATTTGTTTTCAGCCCAAGTTTGTGATTGTTCTATTTAAAAATGTTCTCAGACACAAAGTCAACACAGAATGAAAGTACTGTAGGTCAGTTTTCACCAAGCAAACTGCCTCATCAGGCCTGACTCGTAGTTAACCTTATGAGGACATTTCTGAGGTAATAAGCTATGTACGGTATAAATATGTGATATCATATTAGAGGGAATCCACTTCTGCCTGCCCCGGTGCTGAAATTGCAGCATACAATCTGAAAAATATATTTTAAAAACCAATAAAACTGGATTCATGTTACAAAACAATGATTAACTTGCATCATGCAAGTAAGAAATGGTTTCTTAAATGATATCATTTCTGCATTTCGTGAGAGAAATTTATATTTTATAGTATTGTGATTAGCAAGAGACTACATTTTTCAATGGTAATTTCCACCCAAGAGATTTTATTGTCAAAATATATGTTTTCAGGTGTTTATCATGAGTCACTAGAGCCGTGAAAAGGAATCCCCCAAATCTCTTAATCATACTACACCTTCCCCACACAATACATCACTCTCCCTTATTGGAATTTCTAATCAGGGAGATTGATTTTCATGAGCAAATGTAGGAAACCCATTGGGGAAAAACTTGCAAAAACAGGGTGATGTTTTTTTTTTCACTCATAACTTGTACTCTTTTCTTCATTCAAGCAGCTCGAAAAACACTGCTGTGCTTCTCAAAGGTGTCCCTTACCTAAAATTTCTTAGACTTCCTACAATTGCTGCAATTTTAAGGAATTGTAAAAACAAGATATCTCAAGTTATTAACTGTCTAAAATCTTCATCCTGTGCTGTATACGGTGTCTTTGAGTTCTCGTGCATCTGTTTGTTCTGCTTTCAATATACCTGTTTGCCCCATGCTGCTCTTTACCTCAGTACTTTTCTTCTATTTATAAGCATATTGTCTGCTAAACATGGTGTCGTTTGTAAATCGTCCTAGCAAGCTGTCGTTGGAAGAATGTGAAATTTTCTAACTGGAACCAGTTCCTTCTGTGAAACAAAGCTATACACTTTTTTTAAATTTGACAAATACTATTGGTGAAAAATGCTGATGAATCAGCTACAAACATAAATGATGTATATCTATTCAATGTTAAGCTGAGATACGGTCAGCCACAATGTTTCCATTCCACCAAATGGTCCAGATGACAGTTTGTGCTCGTCTGAGGGAAATACTCAAATGAAGGTTTTGGACAAAACATTGAGGCCTCAAGCAGGCAAGTATTGTGCCTGACCTTTTCAGAAAAATCTGAAAAACATTACATTGGTTTGTGCAGCGATCTCAACTATACAGTATGCACTCTACCCAAAGCAACTCCTCTATGAAATAATATCATACAAAATTCAGACAATGACTGATGTGTAGTTAATGCATAGATACATGCAGTGTAACGCACAGTGCCTATACTAATACAGTGCAATAAACACCATACAAATGTTAGAAAAAACTAGTTTTCCCAGAGCACATTATGCATTTATGCTAACTGTTAGTCTTTTCATTGCATGTCTCCATGTGTCTGCATGCTTTTTTGAATCAGGAGTGTCCAATATTTAGAGTTTCTACAAATTTTGATATTCCTTTAAATACATACAGTATGAACAATGTCTGTCAATAATTCGAAAGTAATTTTGTTGTCCACATACTCCATATGAGAACAATTCAGTGCCATAATAGACTGTAATGCCAATATAAAAGTATTAATTTTCTTCTAGACTCCTGGAGGTTTAAAAGCCTTACGTTGTGTTTTTTCTCTGTTTCTGCTTTTAAGCACAGATTTAACTTTTACTGGTTCTTTTCCTGTCAACGCACATTGATGCTGGTCCTTGCTCAAACCTCATGACAAAATGCTGAGAATACTGTTTCTTTCCATATTCTTCCTACATTAATATGCTACTGTATATTAATATACTGTAGATACAACATTGAATCATCATAAAAAACAGGACAATATACTGTAGGCATCTGATGCAAATTATATTAAATTTTATGGAAGTTCCCTACACCCCTGTCAGAGATACACATGTATTACCCCCCATGCTTTTCTAAAATTGTTGTGCACTGGTCTACCACTTTATTTTTACTGCTAAAAAGCACTTTTTTTCCAGGTTTTAACATCCCTCTGTTTCACTGCTTTCTGCCATTTCAGATTTTCTGTATCTATTTCTACGTCTACTTTGCCTCTTCTCGGCAAAAGGTTGGGACAATTACATGCTCATTGAGACTTTCCCGTGGGTGTGTGTGTGTGTGATCAGTATTTTACTTTTCTTAAAGAAATGTTAACGTCTGTTGTTGAGCTGGTATAAAGCTCAAATTATTTACTCAGAGAAACTTTACACACCTTTCTGATTTTTACATTATTGACCACTGTTTTTGTCAACCAGTTTCACTAACCCTCTTCAGGGAACTCGACAATGGAGTAAATTTCTTTATCTAAAACTTTCATCTACATACAGTATGCTTCTTGTGTGTGATTTAGAAATATGCGCCTTCATCACAAGTTTCAAACGTTACAGCTCTTCCATTGCCTGTAATGAAATGGACCTGTTGGTTTAGTTCAATTAAATCTGATTAGATTAGATTTGACTCTCAGATTAAGTACTATAATTACTGCACATAATGTCATGTCAACACAATAATCCATAATAGTGCACTTCATTTTTACACAAATTCTGTTATTCTATTGTTTTTGCTTTGCATTATATAACCACTTTGCCTTTTGTGTCCATAATACTGTAATTTTTAGGTATAGTTATGCAATCATACACAGTACACCTTCTACAGAGATAACAATAAATATACAGTAATCTTATAAGAATTAGTGTATCATGTATTACAAGTCATGTCCACAATGATTTGCCTTTTACTGACAATTATGTTGAATATTATTTCGATATAAAGGTTGCTTTATCTACAATAATTTATTTTTAGTTTTACTTTTGAAAAGGAACACTTTTAGCATGCCATAAGTCATGATGTAATAGCTCAAAACTCTTAACAGAGGGGAAAAACAGACCATATATATAAAACTGCAACCTTATTCATCTATTTATACTTTAGTGTGGTCTCATGGGGACCATGAATGTTGCCTAAGCTCTCTATCAGACAGATGTCATCAGGAAGCTAAAGCAACCGGCTACAGAGAGTTGTGTGTGTGAGACTGAGGAAGAGAAAAACACAGAGAGCACAGCTCTGCAGTACTAAAGAAAGCTTCAGTTGTCTTGCGTAGAAAACTCACATATGAATGGGCCCGCGTGATTAAAGAAGACTTGATGGATATACTTTACTTGGATATTCCTATGTATTCATGAAATATGCATTAACCCTACCTAAAAGGTAAGTCAGCACATACTTTCTTTGTAAATACTAAAGGTTTTATTATAAATGTGATGGGACTCTTTCCATTAATTCAATTTCATCATCATTCATATATATATACTCATCAGGACAATAACTCGCATTCTTAATTTGGCTGAACAATTCAGAAGAGTGTCATTCGCAATTATATTTGTTTTTTTTTTACTGGAATTACCAGCTGTAAAAACATATCTTAGAGATTAAAAAAGCAAACAAAAAGAAAGTGCACAGTGATAGTGATGAAACTTAGAAGTTTTCTGAACCTATTACTGTATTGTGTTAACAAGACTTGGTTGATGTTCAATCAGGAGTGGATTTAGACAGAGAGACAGAGACAGAGGAAACAAGTTGATATTTGTTTGGGGAAAACAAACATGTATTTTATAGTTTTTATGCTTTGGTCCAGTTTACTATCCTTGAAAATGCTATCATGTTTTTTTTTCTAAAATTGGCTAGTGCATTAAGATTTATAATAATTGAACATGGCCAAAGTGCAGTCTTTGACCTTTACATTTATTTGAAAAAATCTAGAATTACTCAAGTTGATCACAAGTCACATGGCTGATACAAAGTTTATAGCATGTTGTCTACATTTGACATTAATGCTTTTCCAAATCCATTTGAGTAGCATGAGTTTGGAAATTAAAATAACTGTATTATATTACAATTACATCACTTTGTATTCACTGTATTACACTGTAAATACATAACAATACCCCTTGTTATGGTTTTAGTATAATTAACACTGTTACTTATTAGCATTCAATCTTAATAGTGTCACTATGGCTCAGCTGACTATTTTGAGTGTCTAGCATTTTCATTATGCATTATGCTGTAAATACAGATTGACTGTAGTCAGAATATACAGTATATACTGTATAGTATGAAGAGGTATTACAAATGCACTAACTGAGTTCTGTATCCAATATAATTTGTTGCATTTTTAAGCCTCTCTGTACATGGGTGCTTGATTAAGTAATGAACATGAAGGCTATATCTATAAGCTTTTATGATCATGATTATCATGATTTAAAAGCTGAAGAAATATAGAGTATGGCCATTTGTTCTTTTTTCTCTCAAAAACAGATACTGTACTTATTTTTTTACCATTATTACACAAAGCTTTAGAAGTCTCTAAGGCTTTCAGGATATAAAATCAAAAGATTCTTCTGGAAAATGAACTAATTAAAAAATGAACTTTATAACTACTATTTTTTAAAATATCCATAATTAAATTTATTAAATGTATTTACTATTTGTATCAGTTGCACTAGTTACTCAATAAGTTGTATTTACTGTTCACCAGGAAAACTGTAACCTTACATTTGTTAAAAGAAAAAAAGCCTGCTTTTAAAACGTTTCCAAGGATCTACGGAAAAATATGTTGACTTGAAAAATAAATCATGTATATATTTTTAGCTGTGTTATTTTCTTTTGACACAGCAGTGTCTCATTTTCATTGTGGATACATTCTGAATATGTATCGCATGCCTAGAGTAACTTTTTATCTTAGCAAAGTCTACGAGAAAAAAATGATAAATTACTGAAAATGAACAAATGATTTTTCTTAATTCTTTAACATCTCTCAAAAGTTTTTTTAAGCTCTAATGTCTAAGAGAAATAAGACATTCCCTATATTTTTAGATTTAAATATTTTCTTTAGGGACTATTGATTTTTTTCAAATTCTTAAGATAAAAATGTATTTTTATCACACACAAAGATTTTACGTCAAATTTAGTTGTAAAAAAACATCATCTCATAAGTAATTATTAGTGACTTTGTGCAGTGAAATGCTGTAAGTCAACAGATACTTAATTCAGCATTCTTTGATAACTCTTAGAAGACTATTAGAAGATGTTATCATTTTGTAAGCACATTGTATCCCCCCCTTTTTTCTAAAAAAAGGACTAAAGCAGTTTTTATTTGATATGTGCAATACAATTACAACTACATTACAAGAGTCCTTAAAATCATCTTCAGGACGCTCAGGAACACAGAGGTGTTTCCTTAACTCCACCACATGAGAAATTAGCTCATGTTATGAACTAAAGTAAAAACTGAATACACAGGCAGGCTACGTCCAGTACAATGGGAAGGGAAACTATATGGTACAAGGTGTCCTTCCAATGCCACAATATGGCCTACTTACAGTACATTTCACCCGAAAGTCAATTGGTGAAACATCGCCTGCTGAATCTGCTGGCACATTAGCTACTGCATGTCAGGCCCTTGTTGCACATCAGTGGTGGATGAAGTGGGCACTGACCTTTACGTAAAGAACTTCCTGATCTATTGGCCATGAAACAGCTATGCTGTATAAATGCGAGTAATTTTACATAATCTTTTCTAATTACACTGTACCTTGTTCGATGGCAAAATTTAAGATGTAAATAGCGCATCATGGGTATGCCTTATATTTTGTGTGTATAATTATTTAAGTTCGAGCTTTCACATACATAATGAAAAACTATAAAGACATAAACATAATTAACAAATGATTACAAAGGCCTTTCCTCAGGCATATGTACAACAAGCAGTAAATAAATGTCAAACTATAGACACTATATGTACCATGTAAACTTAGAATCAAAAACTGTTTTAAAGTCATTTTAACTGATTGTGACTGTTGCCTATATCCAATAAATTCTAAACTAGCTGCACATTAATGGTTATCCCTGGTAAGCGACAGGCATAAGGTGGGATACACCTCAGACTGGACACTAGTCCATCACAGGGCACACACAGATAAATACAGACACACACTCACACCAGGGCCAATTTTCTCAGAAGCCAATTCATCTACCAGGATGTCTCTGTACTGTGGGAGGAAATCCCAGAGAAGACCCACATGAACACAGGGCACCCCAGATCTGGAACTGATCCTAGAGCCTCTGGGCTGCAAGGCAGCCATGTTAACCACTGTGCCACTGTGGCACATCTATATACTATAACTAAGATTTTTATCATTAGTACCGATAACAATCTGTGACTATGATTCACATGCACATGAATATTTCTATTAATTCAACAGCTAACCAAAAGGACAACACCTTAGTATTTAGTATTATTGTATATATGAAATGTAAGTATAATGTGCGGTAACACTGTAATAATATGTACGGAAGGACAGATTTACAGTAGGCTAATTTTATGTTAACACCATTCCAAGATCAAGCTAGGTTGAGGTCAGGCCTCAGGATAGACCAAATTAAAAATCCATGTACAGTACAGAGAGTATATGGCAAAGAAAACCTGCCAAAATGTTGGGTAAAAACCTTTTTTCTGGGCTTTATTGTGGTAAATGTGATTCAAGCAGAAAAAATACATATCTGTATTTTTAATATAGAGTTTTCAAATTATTTTACATCAAAGAATTTACAGTCAGAAGGCCTGGAATGAAATGAATTTAGTTACTATGATAATGTTACACACAATATCTGTAGGGGAAATACAGTACAAGCAAATACTGTAGTAAAAGCTTTAATGTACTGTACATATTGCTTTCCTCCCTATTCTTTTCCTTGCTCTCTAATGCAAACATGGATGTTTGTGGATGCTTTTTTGTATAAAATTGAAAAAAATATACAGTGAAATTAAGTTCATTATAAATTCAGACTTAAATTCATTACTTAAGTCTGAAGAAAAATCTACTAATATAAAAACATTCTAAACAAGACAGTTTTGCAAAATTGAATATTTTCTCCAGGTAAGTTATTTACATACAGTACTTCATCAGTCCATCATTAGATTCTTAAACTTTTTTGTTATCTGTGGACCAGAGTGTTGGCTGATGCCAGTGGATTTTTTCCTCATTATTCAGAACTGGGTCCTGGTTAGAAAGGCGTAATCAGGGGCTTTGACTGGTGAGAAATGAGGAATATCATTCTTTAAATTATTTTAAATATAGTCAATACCACCAGAACACACATATAAAGCATAAAGCCACTTCTGATACCACAGCATACTGTTTAAAATTTAAATGAAGTTACGCAAAACGCTCAGCATGGTAATTTTGTAGCATGACATCTACATTGTATAACCTAAGGTGAACTCTTGGTGTTTATATGTCTTTGATATTAATACCTTATTTAGAGTTGTTGCAATAAAGTAAAATAGACTTATCAGACGAATGGCATAGCAAAAGTAGAAGTACAGTAAAATACATTTATTTTGGTTGTTGTGTAACTATTCACCATTTGCTTTTACCTTAGAACAAACAATTTGTTTTTGTAGAACAAAATAGAAGCATAAAATACTGTCTTTAACTCCCAAGATCCAAGACACATTTTGCTTTTAGGGAGAACATCACATCACATTTTTATGTTTGATTGCCACTATAATTATTATTATTGGTGATAGAAGCTGTAGAATCAGATACATTAAAATAGTATTTGTAGAGTTTTTACAATTCATTGTCTGTTATATTATTTATTGTACTAAAATATGAAATGACGTTATGCACTCTATCATACAAATGTCAATACAGGCTTACACCAGTATTTAAACCCCTTTTCCCTGTATCCAGGAGAAACCTCCTAGAAGTGCCAGATATAGAATTTGTTTTTGGCAATTTGGCCAAAGGTTCGAATTTTGGCCCTCATTTTAAACAGCACATGCCAACTGCTTTGGATTAGTACAGGGTGTGCATTGGATTTTACCTGGAATATACAGTAGGGACGGAACTTTATTTGGTATATTTTAAGAATTGTATTTAAATATATATAAAAAATACAATTTTGTGTACATTATCACCTAATGAAATCAACACCATCACTGGAAGAATCTGATCTCTACAGGCATAAACATCATATATTCATCAAATTTTACCATATTGGTAATTTTATTGGCAATTTACCAATTGTACCAAACCTTTTTTTATCCTGCTGTCTGCCATTTGAAAATACATTACATTACACAGTTGTAAAGTGAAAGGCACTGTGAAGTTTGAATTTGAATTTTACATGTAGAAAAAGAACAC